TGTTTTCTTTTCATGATTTATTTCTAGCTTGATGCCTTTATGATCAGTGAAGATACTTGGAACGATTTTGATCTTCATGTATCTGTTGATGTTTGTCTTGTGGCCCAGTATGTGATCGATTCTGGAGAATGATCCCTGCGCACTTGAGAAAAATGTGTACTTGGATTTTTTTGGGTGCAGTTTCCTATAGATGTCTGTTAAGTCCATGAGTTCTTTGTCTTTATTTAGGGCTCTAGTGTCTTTGTTTTATTTTTTGTCTCGTTAACCTGTCCATTGGTGAGAGTGGGGTGTTGAAGTCTCCCACTATATATATGTTTTCTTTAATGTCTGTTTTCAGAGCTGATAATTGTCTAATATATTTTGGTGCCCCTTCATTTGTTGAGTATATGTTGATGAGTGTTATATCTTCCTGATGTGTTGTCCCCTTGATCATAATGTAATGTCCATCAATGTCTCTTTTTACCTTTTTTACTTTGAAGTCTATTTCATCTGATGTAAGTTTGGCTATTCCTGCCTTCTTTTTGGTCCATTTGCTTGTAGGATTATTTTCCAACCTTTTACTTTCGGTCTGTGTTTATCTTTTGTGTTTAAATGTGTTTCCTGGAGTCAGCAGAAGTTTGGATTTAGTTTTTTAATCCAGCCTGCTACTCTGGGTCTTTTTATTGATGAATTTTATCCATTTACATTTAGAGTTAATATTGATATGTTGGCATCTATGTTTGCCATTTTGTTTGTCTTTTTTGTGAATTTATTCCTTGCTTTATTCTGTTCTTTTTGTTCATTCCTCTGTTGGTTTTGGCTTTAAGAATTCTTGTAGAATTTTTTGGAGTGGGGATTTAGTTCTAATGAATTTCTGGAGTTTCTGTTTGTCTGAGAAGGTCCATATTTTTTCTTCGTAGAGGAAGCAGAGCTTTCAGCAAATAAATCTTATAGTATTATATTTTCCTCTCTCTCTCTCTGTCTGATTTATTTCATTTGTCATAAGACTCTCAAGGCCCATTTGTGTTGTCACAAAAAACAAGATTCTATCTTTCTGTAGCTGAGTAGTATTTCTTTGAGTATGTATACCACGTCTTCTTTATCCATCCATCCTTTGATGAGCACTTAGCTTGCGTCCATGTCTTGGCTATTGTAAAATTCCGTCTCCGTGACCCTGCGGGTACAGATATCTTTTTTCAATAGTGCTTTCATTTCCTTCAGATAAATGCCCAGAAGTGGAATTTCTGGATCATGTGGAAGTTCTATTTTTAATTTTTGAGGAACCTCCATAGTGTTTTCCACATGGCTGTGCTAGTTTGCATTCCCAACAACATGAGGGCTCCCTTTTACCACATCTTCACCACACCTGTTTATTGTCTTTTTGATAATAGTCATTTGCCACAGGTGTGAGGTGACATCTCATGGTGGTTTTGATTTGCATCTCCCTGAGGATTAATGATGCTGGACATTAGCTCATATATTAATTTCCACTGTAACTCTATAAAATAGGGATTATTATTATTCAGTTTTACAGCAGGAGAAACTGGGGCACAGAATGGTCAAATAACTTGCTCAAGGCCACACAACTAAAAAGTAGCAGATACAGAACTTGAAACCAGACTGGCTCTGGAGTCTGCACCCTGAACCACTATGCTATACCCAGAATTCTCTTTAACCCCTGGTATATAGCTCAAATTATCTTTTCAGACAACAGCTACTGCCCATTGAGTATTAATGCTACCACTACTGGGAGACAATTCTCTCTATGTCTCTGGAGTTTTCACACAACTTATAAACAGGGGTGTGTACAATATTTGTTTGGGCTTTCTGTTCAAAGATGTTTGTATCACAAACAGTCTTGGAAGACAGAATTTCTTTTTGTAGAGCAGAGGGAAGATTAGCTATCCACATAATGAAGATAATGCCTCCTTCTGACATAGAGGTAGGGTCTGCTTCTTTGCAGTTCACTAGAAGAAACTGGGAATTCTAAGCTGGGAGGTCCTCAGCTGTAATGTAAGCCCATCCTATGACCAGTGCCTATTTGGGTTCATCTGCATTGTCCAGGGGACTTGGGAAGCCTGGCCAAAGTTCATGCTGCCTGCTGTGCCTCAAGTATTAAGAATACTTTGTCTGAGTCTGGAGCCTCTTGTCTTCTTTCCATACCTGTGAAACTGTGGCAGGTTAAATTATCAGCTTGCACATAAAGTCATAGGCCCCTCACAGTTCTAACACCTACTTCTTCTCCCTGTGAGGCCACATGTCACCAAGGTGTCTCTCCTGGGACACTGGATTTAGCATATTAGGTCCTACCTCAGCTGCTGCCTTACCTGATGCTGAGTTGGATGGTGAAGAGTTGAAGCATGCCATCCCCTTAAGTCTGATTTCTCAACCTTGACATTAATATTTTGATCTGTATCATTCTATAGAGCAGGTTTGTATCTGAGCACTGCAGGGTGCTGACATCCCTGGACTCTGCTCACTAGATGCCATTAGCAGTCCACCTCCAATCAAAAATGTTTCCATATGTTGCCAAATATCCCCTGAGAGGTAAGCTGAACCATCCTCCTTGTGAGAAGTACTCCTTTTAGGAAGAACCACTATCTTAGGCATCTAGCAAAACTGTCTTATTTGGTATAAGGAATCTATTTTTTTTTTGAGAAATCTCTTTATACTTCCAAGTTATGTAGACATTATTCCTAAAGTATCCTCAGTTCGAACATTTATATACGAGAATTTATGGGACCTTAAATGAATGCATGAATTATAAAAAATAACAAGATTGCAGGCTCCTGTGCATAGCAATATTGTTTGTAATATCCAAAGATGGAAGCCATTTAGAGTCCATGGACAGATGAAAGGATAAGCAAAATGTGGCATATAATGCACTATTACTCAAACTTTAAATGGAAGGAAATTCTGAGCTATGTTACAACATGGATATGCTTGAGAACATAGTTTTGTTAGGGGGAAAGGATGTCCTGAGTGAATTCCATACAGGCTTTGTGGATGCCACCCTCACTCCATCAAGACACTGGGAACTACAAATCCCATGATCCCCAAAGGGAAGTTGCGAGGATCTAAGGGTGGAGTTAAGCAGCCATTTTCTCTGTTTGTAAATAAAAACCAGCCATGTTAGTGGGGTCTGAGACACTTGGCTTGTGCTCTTGGCCAGGCAGGTTTGGTCTGGGCAGGTCACTTGGGATTCTAGGTTGGCAGAATGGGTAGGAGGCATTTAAGAATTTATCTCCCTCTTTTTTCCTTAAGTTGTACATTTCCTCATTTCCCTTTCCCTTGTAAATAAACCTTTGTTAACTTTTTGTGTGTGCCTGCGGTGTAAGTCCCTTTTAAGTGCATGGATGAGGACCCATAGTAAGGCAACCTGTTTTAAAGTGGGGTTGCCCTGTAACAGTTTGAGTGAAATAAGTCAGTTGTGAAAGGACAGACACTGTAGAAGTGCACTTATATGAGCCTCTTAGAGTAGTCCAAATCATAGACTCAGAGAGTAGGATCGTGGGTACCAGGAGCTGGGGGAGGGGAAGGAGAGTTAGTGTTTAATGGGGACAGAGTTTCAGTTGGGGAAGATGACAAAGTTCTGGAGATGGAAGGTGGTGGTGGTTGCACAACAGTGTGAATGTACTTAATGCCACCAAACTGGACACTTAAAAATGGTTAACATGGTAAATTTTATGTTTTGTGTAAAATAAGTAACAACAGTAATTAGTAACATTTGTTGAGTACTTACTATATACCAGGGTCCAAGTAAGTGTTCCAGGTGCACTATCAGTTATGCCAAATCACTGCTACGTTTTGTCTGTGTATCATTTTAGGTTTACCAAAAGCGGACCCCAAACAAGGATTTGTGGGAGGTGGTCCCTGGAAGCCCAGTGAAAATGTAGGAAAAAGAGACAAGGAAGGGAGGCATATCCCTGAGTGGGTTACTGCTGTGGGCCATTGGGGCTTGGTTCCCCTGTGACCTCTGAGTGACTTCTGACTTGTTCTGAAGACACCTTAGAGTTATCCCATTGAAGGGTCAAGAGTCTGGGAGTAGTTGCCTAACCATGTCTTGACTGTTATTGATTGATGGCTGCTTTCTGCTCATTAATATCCTGGCAGTCTGTCTGTTCCACCCAAGACCAATAATGCTCTGTACTGGAAGTTATTAGTGTATTATGGGAACTGTCTGTGTGTGACCTATGGGTAGATTGAAGGAATGTGGGGGCAGATAACCAACAACAAGCAACCAACTTACAGTGACATTTAGCTCTTTCCAAAAACTTCTAGAAAACCAACACAGTAGACATATGATCTACTTTTCTAGTTAACAGATGATGGTAACACAAAAATGATGTTCTTTGGCATAACAAGAGCTACCAGCAATCTGGCCTGCAATCTTTGTGTCCTGTCAGTATATTAAGCTAATGCAAGTAGTTTTTCATTTTTTGTGATGATAACATCACACTTCTGGCACCAATTTCTGTATTAGAGTAAATGTTTGTAGTATTAAAAAATGACTGGCAAAATATACTCTGGACATTTTGGCAAGGACCAAATACATCATTGGACATTCTGGACAGGACCAAATGTACTTTAAGGAATAAGGACCTTGCTTCCCACACAAGGCTATTGTTTCAGATGACTATTAACTTATGGACCATTAACAAAGATTTGGCAGTTCTAGGGATAAAATACTACAAATTAAATAGACATAAGAACTCTGGCTTGAAAAGGAATATTTGTTGTGGTTTCTCACAATGACATGAACTAGAAGCAACAGACCAGATGCCTACAATTTTTTAGGTGTATTGTTGCTAAAGAAGTAAACAGTTCAGTCTGAAAAAACTTACGACTTTTGAACCTTTGTATTTTAGGCCTTTTTGTTACAGCATCTAATTCTGAGTTTTAAGCAAAGTGAGACTAAATACTGTTTTTTAGGGCAATATGAAGGAAATATCTAAGATCAGAACTGTGCAGGAGAATTCGGTGCAGATGGGCACTGACACTCAGATGTCATAATGCTATGGTTACCTAATAAAAGCTAGCTTTCTGCTGAAGAGGGCTCCCAAGGCTCCCTTCATGTCATTATTGCGAAGGCTGTAAATGAAGGGATTCATCATGGGAGTGACCACGGTATACATCACTGCAGCGGCTGTGTCCTTTTGGGCTGTGTGGGAGGACATAGGACTGAAATAGACTCCAATGAGTGTTCCATAGAACAGGGACACCACAGAGAGATGAGAGCCACAGGTGGAGAAAGCCTTCTGCTTGCTTTTTGTGGATGGGATCCTCAGCACAGCTGCAAAGATATTTGTATAGGAGACCAAAATGCCCACAAATGGGATGAAAAGGGGCAGGGCACCCACAGTGTTCAGTACTGCATTGATGAGAGAGGTGTCAGAGCAAACCAGTTTCAGCAGAGGGCTGACATCACAGAAGAAATGGGGGACATGGTTGTGGTTGCAGAATGAGAGGCGGGCCATTAATACTGTGTGGACCAGGGCATTTCCCAAGGCTGCCATCCAGGATACTGCCACCAGAAGGAAACAGACCAGTGGTGTCACAGATGTGGCATAGTGCAGAGGGTGACAGATGGCAGCATAACGGTCGTAAGCCATGGCACCCAGAAGGAAGCTGTCAATACAGATGAACCAGATGAAGAAGAACATCTGGGTCAGGCAACCCGTGTAACTGATCCCTTTGTATCCTGTGATGTGATTGACCAGCATCTTAGGGATGGTGGTAGTAGTGAAGCAAATGTCCACAGAGGCCAGGTTGGCCAGGAAGAAGTACATAGGGTTGTGAAGTCGGGTGTCAGTGACAATGGCCAGGATGATGAGCAGGTTCCCCAGCCCTGTGACCAGGTACATGCTCAGGAAGAGTGTGAAGAGCAGCTGCTGTTGCTTTTGGTCCTCTGAGAGGCCCAAGAGGAGGAACTCAGAGATCTGGGTGAAGTTTATCCCTTCCAAACTCATCCTGGATGAAGCAGAAAGGAAATGGAGGAGCTGTCCATGGTCCTGCCCAAGACCAGCCCCTCTACTGAACCCTGTGCCTCATGCCCTCTTGTTAGTTCCCACATTCATCAGTTCTTCCCTTTGTTTTTTGAAATAGGATCCCTCATCCATTTATTGCATTGTTTGCACCATTTATCCCCACAACATACCTGCGATGTCTCCTGCAGCTTGTGGGCATGTCCCATGCTTTCTCATTGCTTCTTGCTTCCATTACCTGTATCTATGGCCCTGGGCTTCACCTGGCACTCAAGAAACATTCTCTATCCTAGGGTACTTATCATTGTCTTCAACTTTGAAGTTGGTCTTCATTTTTAAAAGTTAAGATTAATTTCATTTTTATTGTTTTTGCATGCATTTTTTGGTGTAAGTTATAAATGTGTTATGCTTTGATAATTACAAACTAAATCATTTATTTATTTAAAAATATTAGAATAATACTGACAGAAAGAAAGACAACAAGTATCAGGTAGGCTTTTAAATGTTCCTGTTAAATATCATGAGTAGCAATTGCTGCTTTTGTGGGAGAACCAAGAAAAATTGTGTTCACAGTGATGCAAGCCTGAAACTTCCAAATTTTCAGTAGTCAGAGCAACCTGGAGTATTTTTATGTTGTGTAGTAACCACTGTAAACATAGAAATTGTATATTTTTGGAATTGAAAACATTCTTTAGTATAAAAATATGGGTTCAGGACATTAGGGAAGTCCCTAAAAAATTAAAATAAAGCTACCAGAAATTTCAACTCTGGGATTTTAGCCAATGAAAATGAAAGTATACTCAAAAGACATCTGCGTCCAATGTAGTATTATTTACAATAAAGATGCTGTGGAAATCACCCAAGTGAGTGGATAAAGAAGATATGTATATATACAAAAATAGAAATACCACAGAATACAACTAACTCATGAAAAAATGAAATCTTTGCCATTTACACCTGAGGGGAGAAATAAAATACTGTCTAAAAATTAAGAACAATGTAAGAAAATTAAAAAAGAGAGAGAACTGGGTGAAGGTGGTCAAAGGTGTAGACTTCCAGTTATAAAATAAATAATACCAAGGTCTTAGTGTACAACATGATGACAATAGTTAATAGTGCTGTATTTTATATTTGAAAGATAAGGGCCTCCCCAGTGGCACAGCGCTTGAGCGCTGGGTTGCGAAGCTGCCCGCAGCCTCTGCAGCGCCGGTTCCATCCCCGGCTGCTCCCTGGCCACCGGAGGAGGGTCCCACATGGCGCGCAGACCTCTCCTGCCGCCCGCTGCTCCCCTCAGCAGTGTGCTTCGGTCCTTCTGCCTGCTCTGCTCCCCGCTCTGGCTCTGGTGAATTCTCTCACCCTCCCGCGCTTCTGATTGTACCCAGTGCTTGTATAAATAAATAAAAATAAATGTTAAAAAAAAAGAAAAATATTCAGAGAGTAGTTCTAAAAATTCTATCACAATTAAAAAATAACCGTATGGGGCCTTCCCGGTGGTGGAAGGGGTTAAGCACCACACTATGAAGCAATCTGCAGCCTCTGCAGCACGAGTTCCATCCCTGGCCAGGCGGAGAGAAATCCACACGGCAAAGCCGACCTCTCCTGGCTCATCTGCTGCTCCCCTCAGAAGTGTATTTCAGTCAGTCTGCCTGTTCTGTTCTCCACTCTGTCTCTGGTGAATCTTCTCACCCCCCACATCTCTGGCCTGTGCCCCAGCTCTTGTATCCATAAAGAAATAAATCTTTAAAAAAATAACTGTATGGTGGAGGCTAGCTAGACTTATAGTGGTGATCATTCACAATATACACAGCTATTGAATCATTATGTTGAATGCCTACACCTAATACAATGTAATATGTCAATTACATTAAGGAAAAAACTATATGGGTAGTTAATGGTAAGATTACTATACTATACCATGCTAATGGTAAGATTAATATTTTTAAAATAAATGATTTAGGTAATGGTAAGAATACTATAAATATTGGTGCAAATGATGTTCAACGGATATTCTTTCAACCTGGAATTGTTGATACTTAGATATTTCATCTGAATGGCAATTTTGTTTAGTTTTGACTCAGATAAAGAAAATCTGCAACAGTCAATGAGAAAAAAATGAAAAGAACTTACTCTTCAGAGTTACATTAAGAACACTGGAATAATAAAAAGCTACTTTATTTCAGTATATGTTAGTAAAGCAGACAGGAAGCATTTAGAATGTAATATAAGACTTTTTCAACACTCTAATGTACAGTTTAAAGTAATTATAGTCTCAAATATGAATTGTTTAACAGAACTTCAAAAACATAGTTATCAAAGTGTGCATGACATTGCTATTAAACTTATGCTCCTGCTTGTGGTGAAACCTGTTTACTGAAAAGAGAAAACAGATTGTGGAAAATACACCAAGTTAGTAAAATTCCACCATTATTAAAGAAGTTTCAATGTAGTCACTAAAATTGTTTATGTAATTTATTCAAAAAGTGAAATTTAAGGCTTTAAGGTAGTTCAATGTTTGTGGCTGATCACAAGCGATTATGTGATTTATATCAGAACATTTTAAATAAAATCTGTAAAAAGAAAAGAATTTATTTACTTCAAAACAAGGTCAAATGCTATTTGTGATGCTCTGGTGGTATTTTAGAAATGTCACTTCAAGGAAAAATATTTATGTGAATACTTTTTGGATTTTGAACAGATATAATGTAAGTCTGGAATTCCAGGTAAAGTTTATATAACTTTCTGGGTGTTTTAATTTGGTATCATTCTATCTCTGGATAATTCAGAAAGGTTGTAACTAGAAAGAGATACTTGAATTGTTTTTCTCAAAACTTTATATATCACATTACTTCTGATAAGCACAGAGAGAATAAGCCAACCTAACTAAAGAGCTGGCTTTGAAATAGTGAAACAGAAAGAGTATTTGATCCAGATGGACAGCCTGAGAGGTAGGAGCTATGAAATCATGTCAAATCTGTAAAACCTCTTAATAAAAGTTGTGAAAAAGGAGTGGATAAGCATTCTAACAGGGATATCAATACTTTATTTCTTTTTGTTAGGAAGTAATTATTGAACACATAAAAATAAAGTAATAGAAGCAATAGAAATATAACACATTTTAGAAATGAAAAAATGTGACATTATTTGGAAACTTAAAATAATTAATATTCATTTCAGTATAAGAGAGCACTGTGGGGAGTTTTTAATAAATTTTATAAAAATGAATTTATAGCTTGATGGCAAAATTAAATTAATTGAATCATAGAAACTGGTCAAAGATTGAAGGTCTGTGGAACAAATATATTTAATAATTAAATCAATCAAATGAATATAACAAGTAAACATTTGCTAGACATGAGGAAGTATTGAAAATATAAAAATATCAGAAGGGCTTATGAGAACTAGGACTTTACATTTGATTATGAATCTCTTAATTAAGTAGAAGCTGAACTGGAATAGGATATCAAAGACATACCTTCACTCTCATGATTAGTGAAGCATTATTCATAATAACTGAGATATGGGAACACCTAAGTTTCTACCAACGGACAACAGATAAAAGGATAAAGATGAATAAGAACACACGCACACACACACACGCATACACAGGGCTACTATCACTTGCCATTAGAGACAACATGGATAAAACCTGAGGGTCTTAGGCTAAATGAGGTAAACCAGACAGAGAAATACACACACTGTTTGGTACAACTTATATCTGAAATCTAAAAAAAAAAAAAAAAAAAAAAAAAGATTCAAATCATGCAAAATTAGGTCCTTGATGACCTCCCCAAGTTCTACTCAGGTCACATAGTACCAGTCATGTGGTCTTTTTTTTATGTCATTGGTCCTGCCTTAGGGTCTTTGCACCTGCTAACTTCTCTGCCTCCAAAGCTCTTTTTTCAGGACTTCCTCCAATTTTCAAGACCCATCCCACATTCTTCCTTCCCCTGTAGCTCAGCCCTAGTGGCCTCTCCATCCTCTTTCCACCTGTGACTTTTATTTTCTGGACCTGGAATCTTCTCCCCAGTCTCTGCCTGTTTCTCTGTATCTCTCCTCCTTTTCCTAGGAGTCCACACACACACTTTCTCACTTCCTTGTTAATTCTCAAGCATATATTGAGCATCTTGCCTTATGTGAATAGGAATTACAAGATTGACACTTACAAAGACAAAGACCCCCTCCCACTCCAGCAGAAAATGCAAACCACAGATGGGTCATCTCCCACACCTCCAAAATATTCAGTCAGCAAATTACAAGATGCACAGCCTCACCAAACCAGGGGCCAGAAATCACAATGTTGTGCATTGCATACCCACCAGTCTAGACAAAGTCAAATTATCTAACAATGCCAGTGTGGTCTGGCCATGGATCAGTGGGAACACCCACACATCAGGAGGCCTTCTGGACACATTCCTTTCCACATCTAATGAAGTTGGAGCCATGAGTTCCCTGTGACCCAGCAAGTTGATCATAGAGAAATTCTGTCAAAGGTGCCGGTAAAGCTCCTTCAAGGACATTTGGGAAGAGGAGTGGTTGTCCTCAGTAGGGTGCAGAGATCAAATGTGGTAGCCTACCAGTTGGACATTTCCATAATCAGAAATGAGATAAATGTGGAAGCCACTTGAACCAACCTGGATAAGCCTCAAAAGCTTGGGCAGAAGACAACAGTCACAGAAGCATGCACACAGAACCATGCCTCTTCTGTCAGGTCTGAAAACAATTCTACACACTGTGTATACATTCTGTGTGGTGATGGTAAAAATGTGCATGGGAGAGATAAACACTGGATATAGTGGATATAGGATGTTGGCTTGCTGAGGTGGTAGGGGTGGAGGGGGAGAGAGAGAGAGAGAGAGAGAGAGAGAGAGAGAGAGAGAGAGAGAGAGAGAGAGGATGTGGATGTTTTACTTCTTGAATGATGAATGCAAGATGTGTCCCAGCTTTATTTATCATTTCTATTTTTTTGAATTCTTGAAATAGTACAC